CTGTGTGCATGTGTGCTGGCACCATGCACCTGTTTTTTGTATGAGGAAATGTTTACAGGCTTTGTAGACCGGCCTGCCCCTCCCCCTTGGGTAGGACAGAGGGGAGGAAATGACTTGCTGATGTACATTTCCTGTTATCCTGTTCTGTTAATTGCTTGCAAATATCTTCCCTGTGTGCATGTGTGCTGGCACTATGCACCTGTTGTTTGTATGAGGGTATAAAACCCTGCTTCCATTTTGGATAGCTCTCTCTCTCTCTCTGGCCCCTGCCTCGGATGAATAAAGAGCTGTTGCTGCATTTATGGCACACAGTCTGCCTCGTGCCTTCTTTTAGCTGGGCATCTCACCACCGAAACAGGCCCCGATTGACACCCTTGGACCAGACAAACACAGACTCAAACCCACCCAAGTTGACTCACCCTGATTTCCACAGAGCTCCATTTTCACCTCCAACCATTTCCTGGGAGAGTCCCACAGTTTCCCTCAGTTTAAATGAACTCTCACCTTCTGTTATTCAAAGTTGATCAAGGCTGTTGTCTTTCACACCAGGCTGCCCTGATCCCTTTGCTTTGAGTCTCAGTTTCACTTGATGTGTAGCCAGGTATGAGGGAAAGAGCAGAGTCTTGAGTGTGGGGAGAGCCTGGCTGATTGCTACCTGTGCACCTGTGGACAATTTAGTGAACCTCTTTATTTGCAAATTAGGGTAATAGCATTCACCATCTAGGGACATTCTAAGGATTAGGGAAGATGGCACATGCAAAATGACAGCACAGTGCCAGGCACACAGAGATGTTCATTAAATGATCATTTACTCCCTCTACCCAGCCTTTAGGAGAGAAAGAAGGACATGGTCCGCCTTGACTCCATCTATGACTTGATTTTAATTCTAGATTGACAGTAACACTATTTGCATTTTAAATTAAAAACGGGCTTCAGACACCTATAGCTCTACTTAAGGTTTCATATAATATCTAGATATTTATAATGCATAATGTGGGAAATAGAGGGAAGCAAAAGCAATTTGGATTCATCTCTCCATGTGGACCCTTTCAGTTCAGATGTTTCCAGTTGCAAGTGATAGAAGCTCATTCAAAATAACCAAAGCAAATAATGGGCTGGGAAGTCTGAGGGTGTGTGTCTGCCTTCAGGCATGACTTGTCCCACTTTTGGTTTGTTTGTTTATTTTTATGAAATGTATTGGGAGAACATTGGTTAATGACATTATATGAATTTCAGGTGTACAACTTTATACTACAACATTGCTGTACTCCATTGTGTCCTCACCACCCCCATGCCTAATGACTTGTCCCACTTTCAATGAAGCCCTCTTCTCTTGGTTCTACTGTCTTTTTGTTGACTTCCTTTCTTTTGGACTTTCTCCACCTGTTAGGAAAGCTCTCCTCCTGGGAACAGTGCTTCTTTCCAAACGGCACCGAGACAACTCTCAGGGGAAAACTGATTGACCAGGTCAAGGTCATTTGCCCACTCCTACACCAAGAATATGGCAGCCCAATCAAACCACATGGGGCTGATGCCCTGGGGGCCAAACAGGAGGAAAGTATGCTGGGCATCCAAAAACAATAGCTCCCCATCTCTTGCAGAGCCCAGAAAAAACGTTTTGGCAATAAGCATCCTGAAGACAGTGACTCTTTCTGGGAAGTTCTTACTGAATATTATGCAGCCCAGTGATTTTTTTTTTCCCCAGCAAGCCAATTGTAAAGACATAGGAGCCAATGTGGGTGTCAGACATCATGTGAGGGCTTTCGTAGTCTTCGTTTTGGTTAATTCATGTCAACTCTGTGAAACGGATATTATTATTTCCACTTCAAGGACAAGATGGGAGGAGATGAGATGAGAAAATTGAGGATCATAGAATTGAAGGTGATACATGGAATTAGACTCAAATCCAGGTCTTCTAATTTTAAAAGTTAAATTCTTCTCTTATACTACTACTATGCCATATTGCTTCTTTTTGAAATGATGATGATAATTCATAGAAATCAAGGAGAGATGACTGTGGCTATAATTCCAGTTAGACAACACTAAAATTGCTTCTTTTGTAGGAATGCAGATTTCAATCTTTGTGTCCTTAATCTCTGGGCTAAGAGTTAGATTTCAGTTTAATATCAGCTAAAGCAAATTACCAACAAATCGGGAGATCTCCTGCTCTAAGTCAAATTCTCAAAACAGACCCCACCTAATTACATTATTTGCATCCTAGACCCATTTCATTCATATCAGTGACTATATATGGGAGCCACTTCCAAGATGGCTTTCCAGGGAGAGCCCCTTGAAAAGGCAGGAGGCTACCTTCTCCTTGCCAATGGCTTTCTCCCTTCCCAAAGTGACATTTTCAGTCAGAGCTGCTCAACCCCGTAGGTGCAGAGGGCAGGCTGGCTCCCTCTTCCCCTGGGGCAGGGCTTATCCCAGCATCTGAGTATGTAAGATCACCCACCGCACTGAGCCTCAGCTGAGGCAGGCCACAGCGGGCGGAAGGCAGTGCAGAGCAGCAGCTTTTGTTAAGTTCTGAACATTATTTCAGTGCTGCTCTTTAGATTTAAGCTCCTGCAGTTCTTTCCATAATAGCTGAGAAAAATAAAAAACACTGCTCCACACCCCCTTTCTCCCTCCCTCCCCTGCACCACACACACCTTCCTCCTCCTCCTCCTCCTCCTC